TTGCTCAAATTTAAGAGGCGGAATTCCCCAAATGTGCATTTTAAAGTCCTTGAAAGACATTCCTTTGGTCATTAATGAAGACAAACAAAGATTGCAGCCACGTAATCTCTGATGTGTGCTGAGTAGACACAGTGGAGGGATCATTCCCAGTAAACAGGGTTCGTTGGTGTCACATGTGCTGGACAGGAGGGTAAAAGAACTTTTCTAGTTTACTTCATGTAACTATGTGAGTTTTGCTGTTTTATAGGTAATTGAACTTAGAATGTGTCTCAGACTACTTTAGAACTTCTTCTAATTTGAGCCACTTTTGGCCTAAAATGACGAGTTGAATGAATGAACGGCTAAGAGCTCATTCAACTTACAAATTAAAGAAACAAAGCTGGAGTATAAGGATGCATTGTTAGAGAGCTGAAACTCCCCTGGGAGGTTTTTGGTTTTTTTGTAATTTGAGGAAACAGACGTGGTGGAAACTTGTTGTGAGTCATTTGTTAAATTAAGTTCTGGTTGTTTCTTTGCATAATTATCAAAACAGATGTAATTATGAGTTAAACTTTGTACTGACTCTGATTCAAACTGGCTTCAACTGCTGAGGTTTTAGTTCCAGAAAAGAACCTCTAAACGTAGAACCCAGTCTGTAGCTGCTGGCTAGTTGACCATTTTTGAGTTAAATCGTGTGATATTAAGACAACGTGATAAACGGTTCCACTTCCCCTCTTTTGCGTCCGCAGACTCGCCTCTGAAATGGCGCAGCCCAACCACAGCTGTCACTACAATGAGTCCATGAGCTTCTTCTACAACAAAAGCGGCGGCGACGACAAGTGGGACTCGGCTCAGCTCATCCTGGTGCAGGTGGTGGGCTCGCTCTTCTGCTGCTTCATCCTGGTCTCCAACGCCATGGTCATCGCCGCCGTGGTCACCAACAAGAGGTTCCACTACCCCTTCTACTACCTGCTGGCCAACCTGGCCGCCTCCGACTTCCTGGCCGGCATCGCCTACGTGTACCTCATGTTCAACACGGGTCCGGTGTCGCGGAAGCTGACGGTCCGAGGATACTTCATCCGCCAGGGCCTCCTGGACATCAGCCTCTCGGCGTCGCTGGCCAACCTGCTGGTCATCGCTCTGGAGCGCTACATCTCCGTCATGAACTGGAAGGTCCACAGCAACCTGACCAAGAGGAGGGTGACGCTGCTCATCGTGCTGGTGTGGGCCATCTCCATCTTCATGGGCGCCGTGCCCAGTCTGGGCTGGAACTGCATCTGCAACCTGAGCAAATGCTCCCAGCTGGCGCCCATCTTCAGCCGGAGCTACCTGATCTTCTGGTCCGTCTCCAACCTGGTGGTGTTCCTCGTCATGGTGGTCATCTACATGCGGATCTACGCCTACGTCAAGAAGAAGACGTCGGTGCTGATGCCGCACACCAGCGGCTCCATCAACCGCAAGAGGACGCCCATCAAGCTGATCAAGACGGTCATGGTGGTGCTCGGTAGGTGCAGATCTGTTGTCTGGTGACGCACCGGTGAGTCAGCAGCTGTGGGATTCTCACCAGTTCGCTGCTGAACACGCCTGATTCAAACATGCGTTCAGTAAATGTGTCAGCAGCTCGTCACTGATTTTAGGAAATCTCAAATGAGTCAAACGACCAAAAGGTTGCTCCTCTTTTTTCTCTCCTTTCATTTCTGATTTACTTTCTTGCCCATTGGCTTAAATAGTCATTAATACTTCATCACTTATCCTGTTGTTTGATGGTTCGATCATTAAACCAATACAATGTGAAATTAGAGTAAAAATCACAACTATCACAGGTTTCCAGATCCCAAGGTGACTCCTTAAGTTGTTCATTTTGCCTTAAAACAGCCAAAACTATATTCATTTTCTGGATTTTAAAACAGAAAATCGTCACTTTTAAGAAGCTGCGACTACAGAATGTTTGGTACTGGTGTAAAATTAGTTTGGTTCATCTCCAAAATTAATAACACTGCAGCTAAAGTAGTATTTTATATACCTTTAATAGGGCTTAAATGCCAAATATATTTAAACTTGCTAGGTTCAATTGTCAACTTTCTGAATAACCGGGACTTGAGTTAACTGATAAAGTTTGCAAACTAATAATTGATTTCCATTTTTTTTAGATTAATTATAATCCACTAACAGAACAAACTGATGAACCATTCAGCGCTCGGTTGCTTTCCCACAAAAAGTCCGAACCTTCTTTTCTCCTCGTGCATTTTCCCTTCCCAGATGTCAGATATGATCTCCAGGTTCCCTTTGTTTAGATGCTGCAACCGGATACCTCACAATAGAGTATTTAAAGCTGCTTTTTTTAAAAAAAGGACAGTACAAGGAGATTCTCCTGAAGCGCCAACACAGGTCATTGGAAGAATATTCAAGTACCACAATGTGCAGAGGTAGAAATGAACTTTAGATTTCCCTGCAGGTCACATGAGCTCATCTCAGTGTTCTTGGTTTCCACTCATACAATCACCCAGATAAGGACTGATGGTTGCAGAGTCGCCCTTCAGAATAAAGGCGCTCAGTGCTGCAGGAGCTGTTTGCGTCTGTACACACTTTATTCCAGGCTGCTGTGTAATTATCTCTGCCTGCAAGGACACTGCCGCTCAGCCTGTGTGGCGAACCGTCCACCACACCGGCCTTCGGCGAGCCTCCCCTCCTCCCCACCCAGAGAAAAAAAAAAGAAAAAAAAAGGGAGAACCTATACTTGAGGACTTTGTCAATTGCTTTCAGATGTAGTTGTGGAAGTACACAAGTGTCATCTCTAAAGCGCCCCTCTGCTCAGAGAGTTGACAGAAAAAGCTGTTTTTACATCTCTGTGCTTGAATCTCAGCTGAAGTTGAGCTCGTACGAATGCAACATCACAGGTCCCCAGATTGTGGTTTGGAAACCTTTAACCTCAAGTGCAAAAAAAAAAAAAGTAAAGATTTCTGTCTTTTATGTAATAAGTGATGTCAGTGAATATCTGAGAGAAAAGGACACATCAGGAGGTATGCAGTCAGGTCAAAGTCTCCAGGATGCACTGATCAGGAATAAAGCTGAGTTCTTGTTGCAGGCGTGAAGCAGAAACTGGACAAACCAGTTCATGTAACTCACACATGCTTCGTCAACTCCCGAGTGAAATGAATGAGAGAAAAAGGGCTGGAAATGGCAGATTCACGTACGATTTGGCGCTTAAATTAATTACATTACTCCAGTTTCTCACAACTAAGTAGAAGAAACGACTTTTCTCACATTCGTGCTTGCTCTTCGTACCGTGGCGTTCTCGTAAAGTCGTTTAATGGTGTCATATCTGAGAGCGCTGCAGGCAGATTCACTTTGTGTTTTCATTCTTTTCCGAGCGCGGCCGCCGTCGTGGAATGAACACCAAACAGAACACATGTTGGAAACGTGTGTTGCTGCTGCTCTGTTTTTCTCTTTGTCAGAGATTAAAGAGCGAGAAAGTCCACTTCTAAACTTGTGGAATACATCAAAAACTGGCCCTTTAATGGGCTCTCGATCAGTTAGTTATTTTAAACATCAAAGACCGTGAAAGAAAAGACCAGCGGAAGGATGTGAAAATAGAAATTCAACATGAAAAGGAGGAAACTATCAGACTTTTCAGGAGAACGCTTGGATCAACTCTTTGCACCAGACGCCCTTTGTTTGCGTCCGGAGGCCGAGCGGTGGAATCGTGCACATTGTTGTTCTGCAGACGCATTAAAGCCGCAGAGATGCTGGTGGTGCAGACAAGTCGCAGCTTGTGGCTTCCTTTCAGTTCCCAAAATCTCTTTGTAATTCTGTTTTGTGCCTAAACATGTCGGGAGTAGATCGCTAATTGGCTGCTCCGGGAGCCGCGTGACCGACTGTATTATTCAGCAAACACACAGAGTTAAGTATTTAACACAATAATCACATTGTGGCGCTGACCTGTGGCTGCATGTCGCGGCGCCATCAGAACCCTGTTACTCTGCTGCAGTTCACTGAAGCAACAATCACATTCAAGTCTGAGTTTCACCTTAAATAATGGACCAAATACAGTCAGAATTAGTTCGTATACTTAATGTTTAGCATCTGAAAATGAGCATCTTTGGTTCGAAAGACTTTTTTATTTTATAGACGGTGATTAATTGATTCATCCAAAACCTTGAGGACTGGTTGATAAATGAACGAATGAATCAATAAATCAACTGAAACTTGCCCTCCAGTAAGAAACAGAACACTTTAGCTTCGCGGCTGCAACCACAATGGAGTCAGGATTTCTTGTCAGTGGGGATTTTAACGCCTATTAAAGTCTTTGTTGGTGCTTTACAGATCAGAACAACATGATATTATAAGGGTGTTTAAAAATGCAGGTTGTCAGCTTGTGGGTTCACTTAAAACCTTTATTCTAGTTGATCCTTCAAGAAGGGGAAATTATCTTACTAACAAGTCGCTTAAATTTTGGATTTACAATTTACTGGTGGTCATAAACGTTAAAATGAAACTGTATATATAAATAATAACAATATCAGTCTGTCAGTAGGTGATAAAATCGCTTTAATGTCACATTTAGAGTTCGCTAATTAATACAATATACCTCGATTTTCATTGTTTCATAAAGTTGTTTATAATTATTAGACGTGATGCCCAGAAATAGACCAAAAACTATAACAATCTCCCTTCTTGTAAACTTTTAAACTAAACAAACAGTAATAATCATAATAAAAACTTTATTTCTGTAGCAACTGTCAACGCTGGAGACGCTTTTTGAAACATTCAAATAAAAAGCAACAATAAAAGAAGACAATAAAACTTTAGTAAAGATAATAAAACATTAGAAAGCGCACAAATGTCTGTTGGTAGCAGTGGGTGGTTGAATGTTTCAGGCTAAAACAGTAGCAACACGGTCCTCCTTTGTTTTAAACCTTCACTTTAGGACTTTAAACGGTAATTTATTCTGTAATCTGAGAGGCAGAGGTGCAGAATAATGTGTTTAAAGTTCAGAGTAGTAGAGATTTGAAGGTTGTCAAGACAATCTTAGATTACATTGTGTGGTGAATGGAGAGTCGGTGTGTTTCTGGAGTGTTTGTCAGTAACTGGTTGATCGCTGCATCCTTCATTCAGGTGAACTGTGAGTTCCTACTTTGTTTTTTAGGGAATATTGGTTTGACTTTGGCTTTGTTTCTACTTTGCAGGTGGCAGAATTGAACCCGAGTCACAATGTGTTATTTAAAGTTGAGGTTTTGATCAAAAACAACTCCCAGGTTTCCGTCTTCATGCTTCGTGTTCAAGTGTTGAAAGTAACCGTGTGTGACTTCTTTGTTTTCGTGCAGGGGCCTTTGTGTTCTGCTGGACTCCCGGTCTGGTGGTTCTGCTGCTGGACGGCCTCAACTGTCAGAGCTGCCAAGTGATGAAGCTGAAGCGCTGGCTGCTGCTCCTGGCCGTGCTCAACTCCGTCATGAACCCCTGCATCTACTCCTACAAGGACGAGGAAATGTGGATGACCTTCAAGAACCTCATGCGCTGCATCGGCAACGGCACTCGGCGGCAGCGGTCGACGAAGGCCAACTCCAGGCCGCTGAGCTCCGGCCAGGACACGGTCAACAGCCAGCCGCCCTCGGAGGAGATGAAGAGCGACGATCAGGGAATTCTCAAGACCTGAGGGGGGATCTCTTTCTGTCCAAATCGGACTGGACTTGTGAGGACACAGATTGGAGTTGACTTGAAGCTGCACACTTTGTCTGCAGTTGGTCTCTGTGGTGTTTTCCTAAAGAGACGCTGCAGGGTTGTGGTCAGACGGAGATAAGGGATCTTCATGCACTACTAATCCCCCTAATGGATGTTGAGATGTGCTGTTTTGACAGGATTTCATTGTCCGATTACACAACAACAGGAATCGTTGTGCAATGGGAGATTCCCGTTGCTGTTCCATCTTCCTCGTTTCATCCCTGTGGGTTATTTAAATATCCTCGATATCGAAAAAGTCGGCTTTACATTTACAGGGTAAAAATCACGTGACTTTCTCCCCAATATAAACTTGTGTATATCTGCTTGACTCATCCTGTAGGTTTACTTCACGTGTAGCTTTTCCAAGAAGAAATACTGTAATGGAGGAAGTAGTCAGGAAATATAACTTGTCTGTAGCCAGGAATTCTAAAACTGTAGGCTCTCTGTCAGTTTTTAAGATATTCTGTAAACGGCTCTACTGTATGCATCGACTTGTGGCTTGACTGGATCGTTTTCTGCATATTTAATTCCGGTTATAGAATCCCAACCCGCCTCCTTTTGTTAAGCAGTTTTGCCTCTGGGGACGAGACAGCAGTCACTCCTCTCCACTTCCATCTGTCTCCTTTATCAGCTCATCAAACAGATGAACTCCCACCTGCGGCACCTCACGGAGGCAAACCCGTTCGCCCTGTAGCGTGTTTCCACGTCACCTCGCTGGATGGCTGCTGTCGCTCTGACGAAACAGCTGCTCACCTGACCGGCTGTAAGAAGACGTTGCGACACACTGGATTCCTGCAGGAACCGAAGAGGATCTGACTGAACGGACTGTGACTCCCACATTATTTATGTCACTTCTGCTGCAGAGGACGTCGTTAAAGCTGTTTAATTTTCACCTTGGGAGCGTAGCGCATGAGTGGAAAGGTTTATGGCTCCAGTGGCTTTTTGCAGCGTGACTTTTTAAAAATCCTCAAACTCACTGACTTTGTTGTGTAACTCTGGAGATTTTTTGTTTTTGTAATGCATCAAACATATATATTATGTGGTTTTTTTTTCTCTTTCTTTCTTAGAAACAGAAGCATAAATGTGCTGAAATCTATATTTTTTTATACTATTCCATAATTTTATTAATTTTTAGCCATGCTAGCAGTTCGACTCATTTGTTTTTTATAGTTGGTTGGTCCTCCTCTGTAGCTAAAACTGAGCTGTCTCTACAACTACTGAATGGCTTGTCATGAATCTTTGTTTTTGACATTTCTCATGTCCAGAGGATGAACACTGGGCTGCAGGTATAAGCCTACCGCTGGCTGCTCATTTCAGGTGGATTAGTCCTTCGTTTATGTTATTTGCATGGTGCTGTTTTCAAAATCGAGTTTACTACGAGAAGCAGCAGCAAACTGTCACACTGAAAATTTAGAAGCTTTTTAACAACATTTTAATGGCATCTCTGCGTGCAATTGTTCCACCAAACAATTCCACCGGGACTATTTTGAGGGAACGCCGAAGCTCCATCATTCCTTCAGACCATTCTGCACCTGTTCCAGGTTCCAGGTCCAGAGAATTTCCTCTTACAGGATCAGTAAAGCAACTAAAAGTAGAAGGCAAAGTGCGACTAACTGTCGTGCTCTTAACAATTGTTGCATGTGTTCTCCTGAAATGTGTCACCGTTCAGGATGAATTGCATTAACTGTGATGATCCTGCGGCTCGTTTGTTCCGTTTTCTGTCCTTCTCAGATCGCTGCAAAGCAAATTATCTGCATTTGGCATCAGCTGTGCTTTTTGGCAGCGCTAATGAGCAAGAACAGACACGCTAGCATGCTAACCTGAGACAGTGAACATGCCAAGCATTACCTGCTACGAGTGCGAGGCTTTTTAAATGCTGCACACACACACCACCCACTTGGCACTTGCATCAGCCAAAACAAATCTTAGGATTACCTGCAGACCCTGTTTGACTGAGTCCGACTGTCTCAGGACTGAAGATAATCAGCACAAACTGATAATACCTGATTGTTACAGTTCGGTCTGATGACTTCAGACAACTCTGCAGATTTTATTGCACCAACAAAGACCGCCAACGGGATTAACTGACCCTCCAATTACATGATTTGCTGTGCAGTCGGCGGCTGATGAAGCACCGCTGTTTGGCTCTTCAGGACGATTAACGGTGACCTCTAGTCTCCATTCGGTCGGTTACATTACAGGCAAAAGAGGCAAAACAACTGAAACGTTTGATTGAATCAGCGCTTGGAGCTGTAAAAGAAAGTGCCTAAAATTAGTATAATTTATTTAAGTAAGCACCATCTCAAAATTTTCATCTGGAAACGTGATAAAAGTTGTAGTCGGAAGGAAGAGTGACGCGTTCCAACATTGACGCATGCTGTCTAGATTATAAAATGTACATTCTGTGCATGTAGATGTAAATCTCAGTCAGTTCCCACTACAGTACATCCGGTGTACATTCCCATACAGCCCCTCTGTTCTCCCCAACAGCCCTGTAAAAGTTTCAACTCTGCCCTCTAATTTACACAACTCGACATGCTTGAAATGCAGCCCTATTGTTTGCCCTCTGCGACCACAAACCCACAGCCATTTTTATTCTCTCCCAGACTGGAGGTAACCTGTTTTAACGGCATTCCTAATCACAATAACATCTCACCGTTCCCTTGAGCGCGACCAGAATCCTTCGACACTCGAAGAATTGTACGTTTCGCTCCCTGAAAATCCTCACGATGTAAATGATGCTCAGTTTAGTTTAGGCTGCTGAGGCTCAGCTTGCTGTAAAGTCATGTGGTTTGCATTAGGAACACGCTGCATCGAGGACTATATGTCCTCTGCAGACCTGTCGTGACTGCAGCCTGCCGCTCTGGTTCGGCAGTCCCAAAAACATAAACTGTAAACTGTGTGGTGTGGCAGCCTTTTTCTACAGCTGTGCTGTAATTATGCATTCTTGAAAAGCCAATTAAATTTCACAGATGTTCAGAAATGCTGTCTTTTGGTTTGTTCTTAATCTCGGGGCAAACAGATGGAAAACGTTCATCAGCGTCTGATGCGACATAAATATCCCTCGCTGTGCTGTAAAAATAAAACTCACACGGAGGTCAAGCTCAAAGTTAAATCATATGTAATTTACAGATTTACTTGTTTAGCAGAAAAAGGGGGAAAAAAAAGAAAATCACTCAGCTCAGTCACATTTCTCTACAAGTTCTGGGATGTAAGATTACACCAAGATTTAGTCAAATCAGCTCATCTTTTCTAGTTGATGCAAATATATACGGGTTTTGCCTATATCTAACTAATTGAATTTAAAATGTCTAATTTATATTTTTAGACCATTTCAGAAAATAATAACAGTTCTGAAAAACTTGAAGCATTTTGACTTAAAACGACAAGTTAAATATTTACAAGTAGATCAAATAATAGGTATAAGAGTTCTTTTTTTCATCAGACAATGAGTACTTTTTTTTTTTTTGGATAGGAGCTATTTTTTACCTTTGACATGTTTCGACTGTCACTTGAGTCTTCCTCAGAAACATTATCTGACATCTGTGGTGACTGAAGTAACAGTCGAAACATGTCAAAGGTAAAAAACGACTCCTATCTAAAAAAAAAAAAAAACTTATTGTCTGATAAAAAAAAGAAACCTTATACCTATAATCGGAGTAGACAAAATGAACCTAATCACGCTAGATCAAATAATCTTTGACTAAGGGTGAGTGGAAATGTGACCCCCAAAAAGATAAGTAAATCTAGCATTTCACAGATACCATCTTTATTGCCTATGCTTTCTGGCAAAAAGAAAGACGGTCGAGCCTCTGTTGATAAAGACATTTTATGACGAAAATAAAAAATCTTGCATCAACTTAATATTGTGATTAATTTAGTTGATTTAAACATAAATTTAAGTTGAGGTAACTTAATGAAATTTGCTTTCTAATTGCATTTTTCTTCACCTAGAATTCAGGATTTAGATAGATATAGCAGTGTAATGTATAATTACACAGTTATAATTGTGTTATTTCACAAAGTAGTTATTGCACAGTGGAGTGATGACGTTCATCGTAGCAGAGAAGGGGTTCTGGTGGTGAGTTCAGGTGCGTCTGGGACCTGCTGACCTGCAGGACGGTGAAGGTTAACTGAAGCACAAACTGTGATTGAAGAGCCTCTTCTGCTGATTGGACATTTAAGGGACAAGAGCGAGGACAGAGAGAGAGGGTGGGTCTGAGAATTTAAAAAAAACAAACAACAGATTTGTGGAGGGGTACACACACACACACACACAAACACACACACACACACACACTGATATGCTCGTCCACTCGGTCGGTGCGTCCACATCGAGTCCAGCAGCAGCAGCAGCATCCGTCCTCATGGCTCTCCGGATAGCAGCATCCCTCTGCCTGTGTTTCCTGCTGGTAAGATCTCACACTGTGGAGGATTTACTGACATATCGCTGCAACGCGTCTAATTCCACACAGAAAACGCTTTCGTACGGATTCTTACATTTTTAATGCTCTGCACACTGATGTTAAATGAGTGCAGGGCAGAAAAAGACAAACCCATCTGCTTATTACACATCAGAAGGAGTTTAAGAAAGCGAGTTTGTAATATTCAGATTTGCTGTTATTACTCAGGAGCCTCTTGCTTTTGTTGTGTTGTCAGAAACATTTGTTGCTGTGTGCGTGTGGTAGTGGGCTTGTGGTGTTTCAGTGTATCGCTGGGTTACCTGCAGTGTTGGAGACGCACTCGGACTGTTAAATAAAGGCACTAATACTACACGAAAAACACTGTTACCTAAGTAAAAGTATGTGAGTCGAATGGGGAAAGTGTACTTTAAATATTACAAGTGCTCCATGCAGACTTATTGTACTGTTTTATGTTATCACACTGATATCTGCGATGATTTAATGGTAAAGCAGCATTGCTCTGCTGTATTTGGTTGATGTGGAACTAATTTTATTCTTTTCTGAGACTGCAACTAATGATTGTTTTCATATTGGATCAATCTGCTGATTATTTAGTTAATAATCAATTGGAAGTTATGATGGGATGTTTGACCACAGTCACCCGGATCATAAAGTCACACCAGCTGTCCTCAAAATTGACAAAACAATGAAGTAATAATGTTTAATGTACAAAAACCAAAAGTCCTACATTTTAAAAGCTTTAGTCGTGTAACTTTTGTTTTATTAATAATAACATGAAGCTTGAATTTTAAAACTGTTGACAAAAGATTAGATAGACTGGCGACCTGTCCAGGGTGTCCCCTGCCTTCGCCCTAAGTCAGCTGGGATAGGCTCCAGCCCCCCATGACCCTAATGAGGATTAAGCGGTGTATAGAAAATGGATGGATGGATGGACAAAAGATTAATCACAATAAAATGAAAAATTTCAAATAATTAAATGAAGTAGAAATGCAGTAAATTCTCACGTTTTAACTTGCATCACTTTGCAGGAAAAATAACTTGAATCGTAAATATCAGACTAGTTTTCTGTCAGTTTAAGTTATCATTGCATCAAGTATGATTATTCAGTACAAAGCATCATATTTTTACAAACACTTCCTCATGTTTTATTTGGTTAAAGTTGACGTTGTTTAACTGAACTTGTCAAATAAATGTTGTGGAGTAAAATGAACAATATTTCCCTCTTTGTGAAGTAGCATAAAAAATTAAATACTCAAGTGAAGTAGCTGAGAAGTTCCCTAAACTATACTTAAGAGCAGTAATTCAGTAGAAGTATTTGTCGGGTATATATAAACTATCTGTTCTTTGTTTCTTAATTATAAGAAAATACAAGGATTATTTATTCATCATGGTGTTTTTGGATCTGCTGCTGTCTGATTTTATTCTCGTTTAGTTGATTTAAACACTCACAAAATCAAATGAAATCATTTTAGCTTCCCAAGCTGCCTTAAAAATGTCAGTTTCCTGCATCTCCATCCGTTAATTAGCTCAAAGTCATCATATGAGCTGTAAAAATGTAAAACTAGTTCAGTTTCTAAAGTGGTCTAAAATAAGAAGTTGACATTTCAGGTTCAATTAATTAGAAAGAAGCGATATATTTACATTACCAGAAAAGACAAGTTGATTTTAAGGATTTTTAAATGTTTTATAGTGTGCACACATTAAGAATCATGAATCCCAGAACTTGTAGAGAAACCTGAAAGATTTAACGAGCATCTCTGGGTAGTTCAAGCTCTCTGAGGGGTTAGAAAGCGTAAAATGAGCTGAGTTAATTTAACTGACTTGAGAAAACAAGTTCAATAAACTCAAGATATTAGGTTGAAGTCACACAGACTTTTTACATTTTCTAAGTACTCCTTCTTCATTTAATATGGAACTATTTTTGTCTCATGTTGAGCCAAACTATCTTCAGCTAGAGTCAAGACAATCTGTGAGGCTGCTTCCGTTTACAGAGAGATAAATTATAAATCCATTGGAGGTCAATGAAATGAATCATATGAAAAGAAAACTTAATTTAATGAAAACACACTGCAAGTTCCCGCCATATCTGTTTTCTTAAACTACAGTTAAACTCTCTGACAATGCATCCTGGGAAGTCTTTTTACGTGCTAGTTTAATGTTTTCTAAACTTAATTTATTGACTTGAGTGAACTCTCAGTTGTTCAAGTCTGAAAATAACAATTAGACAAAGCAGAAGTTAAAAAAACACATTTAGATTAAATAAACTAGAAAAGCCCAGTTAAATTCCTTTCATGTCGTCTTAGACTCACTGATAAGCTGCTCTACACAAATCAGGCTTTTAAAATTTGTTCATGCGCAACAAAAATGCCTAAAAAAACCCTCAATGTCACGTCTGCAGGGAGTGAACTGCTGGCACGACCTGGACAACACCGAGTACGACTGCTGGCCGATCAACAGCCCCAACGACTACAACATGATCAGCTGCGGAGGTGAGTTTCACTGAACACCTGTACGCCTTTTGTCTATAGTGAGTGTAAAATCTGCTCCGTCTGACAAGGAAGCAGACAGACGTAGCTCCAGCGTCTTTGGAGGTGGGGCTCCATAAATCATAGTTGCAAACAGAACATGTGTAGTGTGTGTGTGTGTGTGTGTGTGCACGCTCTGAAGGCGTGTGCTCGTCCCGTGTGCCGGCAGGGCTGGAGATGGCCTGGGTGCAGCGGCCTCCAGACAAAGTCACCAACGGGGAAGAGTTCAACGTGTCGTACACGGTGACGGCCTTGGATTCCTTCTACGAGTACGCAGTCAGGAACAAGATTTTCCAGTTCAGGTCAGCGCGTTGCACAAACACCTGGAAACCTAAGAGCCTGCCGTGCCCACAGAGCTCACACACACACAGAGTAAGAAAGAAACAGATCTTCACTGAGGCGATTCGCTGTTTGGGATGAAGCTGCTGGAAATGATCAGAAATAATAATAAAAAGTCAAATTATTCTGATTGTCACAGAGTCTCAGGTATAAGAACAAAATACATGTATGAAAACACTCTAAACATCTGATTTTGATGAACCTTTTGTCATGACCCCCCAGCCCTTGCCTGTCTCCCTCTTTTTCTCCCTCCTGTCTGCCTCTCCCTCTCTGCCCCTGTGCATCTTGGCTCTAATCAGGACAATCACCCTCAGCTGCAACTTCGGACTCACCTGCACACTATCACTACTGCTCCTGTAAATACTCGGTTCATTCCACCACAAGCCGCCGGATCATAGACATTACATTTGCACGTTTCTGCCAGTCTCCACTTTGCATTTCCCTGAGCCTGTCTGCCCCCTCTGTTTTCCCTCCTTAGTGATTATTCCTGTTTGTGTGAGTTTTCCTGATCTTTTGTAACTTAGAATCCGTTAGGTTTCCCCCTCCGTTCTTAGTTGGAGTTTTCTCTGGTTTTGTAGTTTCGTCCTTTTTTGAATTCTGTCTATTTGTTTCGTTCTGTTTCCCACTCTGTTTAGTCTACACCCTTGCATTTAGTTTTCAGTTTTGTTTCTGCCTTATTAAAATCCTTTTGCACTGTACCTGCCTGTCAGCCTGATCTGTGTCTGCTCCTGGGTTCTCCGATTGCCCCCCGTGACAGTACGGTCCGGCCGAGAATGAACCCAGCAGACAGAGTCTGGCCCGGACTCATTGCCTGCATCTCCCATAAATCCTTTTGAGGAGGAGGACTCACATCAATATCTTGACCACATTATTCACTTCTTTGGACTTTGGAAGGAGGCTGATGATTCCTGCCTCAAACAGCTTTTTTTTTAAGTTCGCGCTCGATGTGGCTGTAGAAAAACCCTGGCTGTGGGGCTCACTACCAGAGTTCCTCTTTGATTTTATTG